TCGCCCACCTAAATGGGATTGCAGAAAGCCTTTCAGCTCGTCTATCGTCAAATCGTCTTTGTGTATTAGCATGTCTTTAAAGTTTCCCTGTCTAATGGCTCTGAGAACGCCTCTCAATATTTCAGTCTCGCTGAATCGCTCTTTAACACCCTCATCGATTTGTCTGCATATGCTATTGTAGCTTAAATCTGAGCCCTGATCGCCGATCTGTCCACCTTGGATCTTGAACTCGCGACGAAGCAGTGAAAGGTCTCGAAGGGGAATTATTCGGTCGTGTCTTCCATGTGGCGGCTGTTCTGGTGTGGGAGTGTTATCATATTGTTGAGTAGGTTGTAATGGTGGAGGTGTGGGTGTGAGTGAGGATGTGGGGCTGTTTATGTATTGCATGACTTTATTGCTAAGCTCAGCGTAACTAGAAAGCACTCTCTGTAACTCTGTGTCAGCGTTCTGTGTGCTTTTGACTTCAGTAGGTGTGAGTGGGGGGTTGTTCACGCTAACTGCAGCTGTACGAGGAATATTCGAACCACTGGCTGTCACGTTAACGGTTGTCAAGTTATCCGAATCTGTCGCTAGTTGGCCTACTGTTCTGTTCTCACTCAGTACTGGAATTGGCGTTATCTCGTTCACATTCTCCACAACACCTAATTTAGGTTGAGCATAACGAATCTGAATGACATTATTTACAGTATCATTAAGCTCTAACAGCACTGCCATACCTGAATCCTCAGATTCCACCAACATGTCACTGTTCATAAAAGTTAGAATGTACTCAAAGCAACTCTCTTCTTCGCCAACCTGAAGTGTGGATGAGTCCTTCCCTGGCACCGGACCAACTCTCTGGGCTAGTTGGAAAAGTTCATCGGCCGTCAGCATGAGTAGACTTTTCTTGATGCGCCACACCAAGCCTTTTCTCTCACCATCCGCCATGACTGCTTTTCTTTCTTCCCTTCCGTCGGTTGCTCGTCCTGGTCACGCTTTCACTCGCCTCTGCTGGTCTGGTTCCACGTGTGCAGAACAATCGTCACCTCACCGGCACTTGTTCTGGTGAAAGCAGGATCCACGCATCACCCAATCTTCCTCTCACTTCAAGCCTGAAGAGACGTCAGTTCCTGGAACATGTCAACTGCTGATTCTGGTCGTGCTTGTAGCCTGCGCATCTACTGTCATTCCCCATACGGGCCACCAAAAATCTGTAACGGGTACCGTGGCGTCGGCACCCGTGAGGAACAGATTATTCTCCTGTAACACAGGAGAGAAACGAGGAGACAGTGTTCAAGTTCAAGCTCTCTGGAGTAATTTATTCACAATATGTGCATTAAACAAATCTCTGTTTCTCAGAGTCACATTATGTTTCACATATCACATTTTCAATGTCTTCTTAACATTATAATGACTTTCAGTGTTCATGTCAATTCACAATCTGCAATAAAATAAACTTCTCAATTTCACATTCATGTTTACTGACTCTGTATTTTTATATTTCACACTATTCATCAAAAAAGAAATACAAAAACCATAGCAAAATACTTCAATTACTTCTCTTAAATGATTAATCATTTCTATTCACAATATTTTTCCAGTATCACATTAATACGATGCTGTAAATCACTCTCAGAATTATTAATATACTTCAAATATAACTTTAAATATAACTTTAAACCTTATTTAACACTAACTATTATCAATCGATCTTCAAAACACATATATAGTATGTTAAACAATATTTATTAACCATTATAAAATACCTTCATGTGCATTTGTATAAGGGAAAATGTATATTTTTTTCTGACGCGCTCACAAACGTTACATGTGCGTTTTCAGTAGGCCGCTAATCGGTCGAGCTTTTCTCTCTCGCTTAAATCAACCTCAAAAACAACCTCTGACGAGCATCACTTCTCTAAAACAATTCACTTATATTCACATTATATATAAACACATTTCAGCATGGTTAAATTTAACTTTAAAGTGTTTTTATACATTTACCCACCTGTAACACAGGAGAGAAACGAGGAGACAGTGTTCAAGTTCAAGCTCTCTGGAGTAATGAAAAACTCACGACTCGCACAGCTTAACACCCATCGCTCGACTCTGCCCCTAACGGTCAGGAGTAGCATTGCACACTTCTCTCTTTTTCTTTTAAAAGGAATCACATTACAATAAAACCCTTCTGAATGTTTCTTTTTCCAAAATAACACAATAACATTTTCAAAATGAAACCAATAATTTTGAATATACTTAAAGTACAATTACAATCCTTTTGTGATCGTCACACATAGGTAACTTAGATCGAAGTTCAAGACAATAAATCTGTAAGCACATAACACAAGTAATGCTTCTCTTTTCAAATACAAACAATACTTTATTGATTATAAGCCTATGACTAACACACATAAAACTAATATAACACAAACACACGCACACGCATTCATACAAGTTGAAAAAAAGACAGAGAGTGAGGAAGAATGAGTTTTAGGAGTTAGATGGTGAGATCCCAAGTTTCTATATGCACTTAAAAGACATGACCTGAACGAACCATCAATAATTAATTTCACCCTTTTATCGTTTCTTAGGCGGGTAATTCAATTTGATATTAAAATCACCAGTTCAGTTAAAAGTCTGGAGATACTTGCTTGTCCTTGCTTTGGGGTTCCCTTTTGTCGTGAAGGGGGTTCCCCGGTCCGTTGCTTGGCTGATCTTCTCGTGTGCCTGGATAGATCTTGGACAGCCAGTCACGTGGTGTGTTGGCGCGGATGAATGAAAGTCTTTGAAGTTGAAAGCTGGTTTTGCAGTTGAAACGATAAAACGAAACTTTGCAGCAACACTTAACTTAGAACCGAGACTTTTAACGGAAAAGAAAACAAACTAAGAAAAGAAAGAAAAGTGACGAGATGGCTTGAATTAAATCTGTTTTAACCCATATCTTGATTTGGGTCATTTGTCTCTGCGTCTACATGGTTACTATAACCATCGTTGGCTCCACCCGGCTTGTTCTGCCGAGACCTTTTCCGAGTGAAGGGAGCAAGAGCCCCAGAGAACCAGAGAGAGCACAAGAGAGCCTCCCAAGAGCATCACAAGAGCGCATCACAAGAGCGCATCACAAGAGAGCATCACAAGAGAGAGATTCTGTGTCCGGGTCTAAGATTTTAAACTCAAAATGTTTGTCCCGCCTCTTGGAGGAATTTGGAATTCGGACAATAAGATACTATATGGTTATTTGAGAAGGGGGTCTTTCCTATCCCCCCTTTTCTTCTGAACAAATCTGTTCTTGCCAAATTATAAAACATTGACAACGTCCTTACTTTAGTTAAACAACAAAAGGTCTTCTTGGCTCATAGCCTCGGGTGATCTGGAAATATGCAGCCCCTTGTGTTTGATTATGTACGAATGCTTCACTCGTGTGGGTTGCATTCTCGTTGTCGCTACATAGCATATTTGGAAACCTTTCTAAAAAAATTTAGGTTATGAACGTTTATGCTCAGTGTGCAGAGAAAAATGTAATGGAATGTAGAACTACAACAATTACGAAAACCAAAATGATGTTGTCACTGGCAGTATATTGGGTACTCATATGTAGATCTATAAAATGTATATTCACACAATATTATATTATACTATATTCACATTGAAGCCATTTTTAACATGATTGGCAGTTGTGATGGGTCCCAAAAGTTTGTAATTATATTTCAATTATAATTATATTTCAAACAATGCATACCTTGCTCAGATGGCCCAGCAGTGTCAGTAGCAGGCCTAGGTACAGGGGGAATGCCATCCTCTGCACCCTGCAAAATGGCAGGATGACTGCTCCTCAAATGGCGCATCATGGATGATGTATTGTTGCAGTAGGCGAGCTGCCAATCACAATACACACATCTCACTTTATTTGGGGTTTCTAAATGGAAATGCTCCCACACCACAGATGTACGGCATCTCTTCTGTGGAGCCTCCATTTTATCTATCCGAATCTATCTAGATATGTATCTCTAATCTATTTATGTAATTAGATATATGTATCTACAATCTATCTATGTATTTAGATAGATAGATTATAGATACATATTATATATACATATGTATTTAGATATGTATCTATAATCTATGTATTTATATATGTAGCCTATCTTTAATCAATCTATATATCTATCTATCTATTAATCTAGCTGTCTATATTTATATCTATGTATCTATTAATGTGTCACTATATGTATACTCTGTGTCTCTAACCTATCAGTCAACGTGTTGTGTAAATTTAAATGTAAGCCTAAATATAACTAAACAAATCGCACTATAAATGTCACTATATATCACCAAAAATCTGCCATCTCAAAATCAAACTCCTCTTACAAAAACCCACGAGGTCAATATGCGTTGATTTCACTTTTATACAGATGTGCGATTGTGTGGTCTGTTTCCGACCGTGTCAATCAAACGCTGATTCGGCGGATCACACCTGATGAAACACTTTAGTGAAAAAACACTTCGAGGCTTCGTGGTATAGTATTCCAAGCTATTTTTAATAGAATAACAGTTAAAGGGATACTCCACTTTTTTTGGAAATAGGCTTCCGTAGTATTCCATAGTATATCTACTATGGAAGTCAATGGGACTAGAAACTGTCTGGTTACTGATATTCTTCTAAATATCAGAAAATCAGCTGAATGTATTTGAAAATGGTAAAACTCAACTGTTTAACTCTGAGGGAGTTATAAAATGAGCCTATTTCCAAAAAAAGTGGAGTATCCCTTTAAGCACACTGATGGAATGAAAGTAGAATTTTTGGTACTAGTTAATGTCCAATATCAAATATCAGGCATAAAATAGGATTTACAAACTAAAATAGAATCGTTAAGCACTGACAGAATTAAATAAGCCAATACTGAAGTCACGGTAAGTAGAATATTTGATACCAGATAATGAGAAGATATCAAGTATTAGATGTATAATCTAGGATTTACAAGCTATATTTAAAAATAGAATAGTTAAACACTGTAACAAGGCTCTTTTAGAGGTCTTGATGTTACTGACTGCAGGATAAAAAAAGGGTTCCAGTTGTCAGTGATGCTGGGGTGTCAGTAGTCAGCCTAGGTTTATGGGGTCGGCTGTGGGTCCCTCTCAGCGGTGCGGCGACTTTTTCCACCTTCACGGTCAGATGCTTCTTTCAGGTAACGTGTAACGTTAACCTGGATCGCCTCATCAGTGGCATCCTGGGTCGCTGGGTTCTTCCGGATGGCTCCTGTAGAAAATACAGATCTGTCATTCTATTTGAATGGCATAAGGTCATACACATCTACTTAAATATTTTAAAAAAATCCAACTTACTTTGAACAATGGTCTTCAGGAACATGTCTCTAAAACATGCTTTATCCCCTACACCAGTCCAGATTGTATTGATGGAAAGGTGATTAGAGAAGATACCCTGAAGCATTCGCCACACAGCTGTCTTTAGGTCCCTTCCACATGCGATTTCCAAAAACCGAAGCTGAAAATACAAAAAAGTGTAACAAATTACATTTATCTGAAGCTTCTCATAAATTTAAAATGTAACAGGCTGTGGATTCAGATTGTAGAATATGCAGTATACAATCTTAATTTTACTTTTTAGATTACCCTATGGCGTTATAAACGAAATCAGAACACTTACAAATCGTTCCTGGAGCTCTTTATCCTGCCTCATACTGTTGTCAAGTAACGCCAAATCTCCCTGGGTGTCTAGGGGGAGTAACGGATCTCCTGGCAGGGATAACACTCCAACAGACACATTGGCACTGAAAATGTTGCAGCATTGTGTCCATTTTGTTGTCCATGCTACGCACAACATCGCCAAACTCTCCAAGACGTCGCAGCATTGGGGTCTGATCTGCACCTACAGGGGTTCCCAGAATAAAAGAATAAAGTAGTCAGTAGTACTGGTCCCTCAACTACTAAACTATGACAGTTATATCTAGGTCTACTACATGTACAGATGGCCCCAGTGGGAATTAAACCAACGCCTGCGTTGTTTGCAAGTTGTACCTGATTGCCCAGTGCGAGCAAACGTCTTCAACATTGTCCCAACTTGCTTCACCTGCTCTCAAAGTGAGCCGCTGTTATCTGAAGCTACAAAATAAAAGGCATATGGTAATTTTGGACACACACAAAAAAGTTAAATTTAAGAAAGAGTGCATGTTCTCACCTGCTGGTGCATTGCTTTCCCTCAGTGCTTGTTTTTCATTCTGGAGTCCCTGGAAATCTACATAAAAAAAAATACAACTAAAGGCACTATTTTCAATACTGTTAAAACACTGGACACTAAGACATAGGCCTAGAATATACCTTCATAGCAGAAAACTTCATGCTGTACACGAGGTGCCAGGGGAGTCCAAGGGCCAATAACTGAGCGAGTGATGGCTTTCTCCCATTGTTTATTCAGGCACACAAGGAAGTTTCAAATGGGAAGCATGAGATGTTATCAAGGACACCATGCTTTTTGGCATCTTGTCTGAGGTGCACTAAACCAATCCATGCATGTTGTATGTCACATGTTCTTTTCCATAAAGCTTGCTGCAGTGATCAAAGAGAACCAATATTAACCATTGTAGCTACATTGTGAACTGAACTAGCAGCATACTTGTTCGGACAAACAAAATAATTTATTACACAACCTATATACATTATTATGTTATGTTTTGTTAGAAAAAAACTTAAGTTATACTTAGTCTTTCTAGATGTGAAGCTTTGGCTAATTACATTTCTACATGTAAGGTTACTAGCAACATTGCTTAACCTCAGTGGGTACTGTAACAAAGGCAAAACAGCATGTGTTAGCTAACACTTGCTAACGTTAGCCACTCTAGCTACTGGACTAGCAGCATACTGCAAGAACAAAGATTACTAACTTGGATATTTTAAAAAGATAAACTAAAACAATGTAAACATAATATTGCGTTACACAAAAGGGAAACATATACTTACTTAAACGACGGTAGTTGATGACTTTGCTAGCTAGCAAACTGTAGCCTGTAGTAACCATAGACAGTAAAAGAAATGGACACAGCGACCCCATAGACTTCAACGGAGAAAAGTGAAGTCAATTACAAGCACTCACTTCCTGATTGCCAAGCGCACTGCGCAGGCTCAAACTGAGCTGGACGACGTAGATGTGACGTGAGCAACCTGACTGACAGTTGTACGTCTTCTAGTAGCGGTGCCAAGAGGAATCTGAATCATTCCCTTTCCGGATCTTGCAGAGCCGGAGATCGTAAGTATTAGCTGTGTATGAGCTAGCAGCAGGATCAACTTTACAACTCTCTATGGGCTTCTCCCTTGACTTTATGCCTCCACGTCTTCCCGATTGTGTACGAGCTTCTACTTCTGCCTATACGGTAATTTATGTACTGTGCGACAGAGAGTCGCGTGTTATGACGCAATCGTTAGCCTATTTTTACAATAACTGCTTCTACGGGGCCATAACGTAATATACAAGGTAATGGAGCATTTTATACATTGTCGTGTTTCTTTAGAAATAAACAATGGACAAATTGAGTCTTTAAACGCCTCAGATGTAAAGTTATTCGCTGTCAAAGTGACGCCAAAATGAATGGGAGTCAATGGAATGCTAACAGCATGTGAAGGCTTGTTAGCCAATGGCGGCTCCCGGTAGACTTCAGTTTCCGGCTGATGGATTACCCCCTTGATAGTAACTTCGGCAATCTTCTTCTTCTCTTGATTAATGGCGGATTGTAAGATGTAACCTAACCAACTTGTAGGTGCATACCGCCAGCTACTGTACAGGAGTGTGTAACACCATGCTACTATTCTGTGAAACGACAAGGGGGCGACTCAAGTAAATGTCAAGTCAAGTCAAATATATTTATATAGCGCTTTTCACAATACAGATTGTATCAAACCTGCTTCACAGTATCAATCAAAACAACTTAACAGTGTTTGTTTATTACTGGAAAAAGACATCCAAGTTTGTTAGAGCTGATCAGTGGTATGATGGGTCATTTAATTTGAATATCCCCAAATGTCCTCTAACCATGAGGAATCAACGGGGAGAATAAGAAAGGTCCACACGCCACACGTGACAATGTTTATTTTAGTACATCACCACCAATAACACTACAAAAAGAATCGTGTAAAATACAGTAAAGCATGAGATTAAAACGGACATGAAATTTATGTTGACTCTTTGTTGTGTGTTGTGTTTTGGATAGTTTTACCTGGTATGTTATGTTTTTAAAAATAAATAAAGTGCGCCGAGTAGACTCTTCTTTTTCGTAGGCAGATTGATTGGCACTCAATAAAGCTCATTACTGCTACCAAGAGGCAAAAATAAGGCTATGGTAATTCGTTTTACTCGGTTTTACTCCATTGTTATTTTTACAGTCATTTGAGTAAAACATGAAATAAACGGACATAGCATGATAGTCAGGTTGACTAGTCTGTTTTGGAGAGTTTTACCTAGTATGTTTTAAAGTATTCTCAATGCACTATTGCATTGAGAATACTTAAAACATTTTATTTTTAAGAGTTATGCATTTCAATTAATAGTAAAATTCCATTGAATTGAATAACCCTTACATATTCTAACTGAATAATTGAACAATCTTTAATAAATTCGATTAAAATGTAAGGATCATTAAACTCAAATTGATGGAATTTTACTATTGAAATTTGTATATCTTTTAAAAAGGCTTTAAAATGTTTTTGAGTGTTAGTCTGCTCCGATCCAACTTCCACTCCAATATAGATGTATTGAAATGTTCCTTCACTTAAAAGAGCTTATTTATCATAGAATTAATTCCTTACAATCTTAAAAGTATCACAGAGTCACGTTTATAACCTATAGCGTGGGAATGACAGCGGGTATTCAAGAACCATCTTGATTAGGGAGCTTCAAAGAGATGTTATCACCTTAAACATTTGGCCGTTCTTATTTGAAAGAATATCAAAGACATGGACACAGAGGTACCACTTTTAGTTCTCTTCAATTTACATTTAAGATAGAGTTTCAGCTCCACGCTGAGAGAGAAGACGAATTTGTTATTCTCAATTTACATTTAAGAGAGAGCTTCATTTACATGCTGAGGGGAAAGACAGATGTAAGACGGTATAAAATGTTTACGCTGGGATGAATTCGGGGTTCATTCTGACGCCAGTGAACCCAAGGTGCTTCGTGTCCCTTGCCACTGCTATGCTGTAATAAACTTCATTTTTGAGATCTTCGACATCTACATCATTTTTTCTTACATTGGCGAGCCACCCTTCCAGGAGTTTCCAACAAAAAGTGGGGAAAGGTAAGAAAAAGCTGTTTTCTTTCATTTATGCTGTTTTTTGTCAGGAAACCCCTCGTTTAAAAAAATCTAGAAAAGGAAAATTTAAGGACAGAAGAGAATTTGGTTTATTCAGTATTAGCAGGAGGAGTTGTTAAGCCTATTCTGTACGATTTTGTTTAAGATTCTAACGGAACTGAATCAGCCCGAAGCAGTGCGGCGGCAGAGTTGTATTGCAATTGTTGTTTCTAAAGTAGTTGAAACAAAGTGCTTAAGTGTAAAGTTTCTAAAGTAACTGAAACTTTGTGTTGGTCTCTTATAAATTCTGTTAAGATCCTAAAGTAATTGAATCAACCCGAAGTAGTGAGGTGGCAGAATTATATTAGATCAGTTGTTTCTAAAGTAACCGAAACAAAAGTGTATGCAGCCTATTTGAAACCGATTGTGAAAGTTGTAATAATTCTGAGGAAATTCTAAAGTAATTGAATAGACCCGACGCAGTGTGGTCACAGAATTATTTCACAACGATTGTGTTTTATAGTGTAGTAGATTAGTAAATCTTACACTGTGGCTCTGTGAAATTTAAAACAAGAACCCGAAGCAGTGTGGTTTTGCCCGACGTACTGTGGCAGTGTTTTAAATTTTATTTATAAATATTGTTTAAGCCCGAAGTACTGTAGATAAGTAAACTGTTTTAAGAAAATAACATAAAACCCGACGTAGTGTGGTTTTGTCCGACGTATTGTGACGTGTTTTGTTTTTTTAAAACTGTTTTGTGTAGTGAAATTTAAGGTCCAAAGGACTGCGGCCATGGTTAAGTTAAGCCTCGGGTAGTGTGGCTATTTTGTTCATTTGCGTCCGAAGTACTGGAGCTGTGAATAATTAGACTAACGGATATCTTAAAGGAACTAGATAACGTGTAGTTATTTAAAATCAGACTTTGTGAATAACAATTAGATCACGAGATACTCTAAAGCCCGATAAGACTTTTGAAAATGGAAGAAATTATTCTTAAATACATTGCTAAACATGGTTCTCAGGGAATGTTTGATGGAATAGAGAATATTGTTGATAAACCGTACAAGTGGGCTATCTCTAAGTTTGAAAATGATCCCAAAATGCCTAAGAACAAAAATGGGAAAATTGCTAATGCGCTTCAAGCACTTTTTGCTTCATACAAAGTAACGAGGAGGAGACTAGATGAGTTAGAGGCTGAAAATGAGCGACTCAGTGTTGGGGTAATTTCTACCAAAAATTACCTGGCTAGTGACATGATATGGAAAGAAGAAAAGGTCAAGATGCAGAATGAGATTGCACTTCTGAGAACAAACAATAGTTTGCTTAAATCATCTGTGAAAACATTGTCCAACAATTTGGAGGAAGCAAAGGCAGCGTATCAGTGTAACGTAAGAACTACGGAAGCAATTGCAAGTAACAATATTTATTGGAAAACTCAGAACATAGTCCATAGACAGGCAAGGTAGAGAACTCGGTACGCGATCCACAGACAGGCAGATAAGTGGCGCAGGGACTCGATGGTCAGATGGATACAGTGCAGGTGAAGTGAGGTGACGATCAACAAGACGAATCCAGAACATCCACAGGGAACAGACAGGAACAACGAAGGATACTGGAACGTAGAAGGATCAAACACCGGACATCACAAACAACGATCTGACAATGGAGATGAGAAATGGGTGAGATTAAATAGACCGGGATGATAGACTGCAGCTGGTGATGAGTGATTACTGAATGAGCTCTGATGAGCAGCCACGCCCCTCTAATCAGCACACACACACATGAAACAACAGAAACACGAGACATGAATGAGACATAGGATTTACCCACCGTGACAGTACCCCCTTCCCTAGGAACGCCTCCTGGCGTTCCCAGACTCCCTTACCTGTCGATTGTAATCATCGATAAGGGAGTGATCCAAAATGTCTCTAGCTGGCACCCAACTTCTCTCCTCCGGACCGTAACCTTCCCAGTCCACCAAGTACTGTAATCCGCGTCCCCTCCGTCTCGAGTCCAGAATACGATTAACCGAATATGTGGATTCCCCATCTACGAGGCGCGGCGGGGGGGGGAACCGGGACTGGCGGATTAATGCGAGCATAAAAGAC